GCCCGAGCCGCCGCCGCCCCGGGGGCCATGACCGTGGAGCAGAATGTGCTGCAGCAGCAGAGCGCGGCGCAGAAGGTGAGGCGATCCCGCGAGTCCCTGGCGCCGCCCCCGGCGCCCCCTTCGCCCACTCGGGGTCGGGGTGGGCGCCGAGTTCCGAGAGCGGATCGGTGCCCACGCAGTTTCCTAGCTAAGCGACCCTCGCATTCCTACACTCTTCCTCTGGATGGCTTCGTCATTCAACTTTTTTTCCTTTCCATTTTAAGACTAGCCACTTGGCATTCCTCTGGAACTCGATTCATGTTTGGAGTGGAGGCCTGCTCATTTGCAAACGTGTCTTCACCCGAATTCCATCGCGGGTCCTGAGGGGCAGGTTCATTACAGGTGTAGACTGGGTAGAGGTAGGTTTGGTTGATTCCAGTTCTTCCAGTTTCTTCTTGGTTCTAGACAGTATCAGCCAAGTAGGGAAACATTTTGGCCATGTTTCTTCCAGGAATCGCCTGTCCCCTAAGTTTGACCTTGTTCTACTCATTATCCTTTCCGCCTGCCTCCATCACACATTCACACAGCCACTTACGTGAGGGGGGAAAATACCCCCCACCCACCCCGCGCGCTCCTCTTGGGGAAGCTTTAGCATGAGACGTTCCTTTTGTAGATTTTGTTTTCCGATTTTAGTGCACCATCATGGTTTGCACCATTATCCTGAAGCCCATGACTTATTATTATTTGGGCGAAAAGCATTTTGGGCAAAAGGGACGCAATGCCTTCGTCCTTTTGGCATTTTGGGGTCTTGGTGATCCATCACCATAGCTGTGTGACTGTTTGGTTCCTCCTGGTGAGTAATGAGTGCCCCACCCTATTGTAGTTTTAGAGGAATAGTTAGCTCCCACCTGTGCTTGTTTAACCTTAGAATAAGGCCTACTTTCCTAACATGGCATCTGTAAATTCACCGCCTGTTAAGATTTTGCTTTGTGATTACTTTTAGAATTTTAGGATATTATGTGAGGTAATTGAAGATGCTAAAGAATTTTGGAAAGCAAAGATAGTGTATTGTTATTTTAGGGACTTTGGCTAAGTTCTTTTTGGAACTAACTCTTACTGCTAAATTGAGAAGATTATTGCAGACTGCAATTTATCTTATTTACAGTGAACAAATTCAAGATTTTAATCATAGGCATTTAAAACAGTTTTTCTCCTAAACATCTTGAAATCCATGACCTTTAGTTTTCTGATGGCAAGTACGTGATAAATGTGAATACTCAGAAGATTGTGAGTCCATAGGAATAGTAAACCGTTTCTAATAGTTTTGGTGTCATTTTGTATATAGTTGTCTTATTTAATCCTTTTTATTTCAAAGTGGAAGGAGTAGTTTATGTTTCACATCTCTTAAGTTTAAGCAGTGGCAAGGAGTTTGTTTCTTCATGTGACTTAGCCACAAGCACTTTAACATAGCATCAGAAAACGCAGGCCTGTGTGATTTGGAAATTTATGTATGAAATTGTAGAATCAAGAATGAAACTACTGAAAGTGATAAGGCTGTCAAGTTCAATTTCTTAGTTTAGTGAATTTCCCTTTTTACACAAAGGGTATAACAGTTAATCGAAAGTATTGCACATCTTTAAGTTATTTTATTGATACTTGGGAAAATTTGAAAACCCATATCCTTTTTTTATTGTTTACTCTTCATATTTTTGTAATACTGTATTGTTAGACTATAGTCCCTCCCACAATCCAACTGCCATTGAGGTAATTTTGACCTATCCTGGGCCTCTAGGACAGAGTACAACTGCCCCTTTGCCTTTCAGGGACTTAAAACCTTCAAGGGAGCAGAGTTTGAAAGGCTCACCTGGGGAAGCTGTGCAACCCACGCTTCTTTCTGTTCCCCTATAGTAAGCCCATTTTAAAGCTGTTCATAGGATTATAAGTATTTTAAACAGTGTACCTCACATAACTTGACAGATGTAAATCCACCAAACTAGTAACTCGGAAGTGAGCTTTATACTTCAGATGGAAGAAACAAGTGAAACTTTGTTTCTCTTAGAAACATTGTAGTGTACCAGTAAAACAAAAGGTATCTAATACATTTTATACACTGTCAAAAATGTACCTGTTTTCTGTCCTTAAAAGAAAAATAAACAAAAAAACCGCAATAAGTGCACGTGGAGTATCATTTTAAAATAAATAACCATATTGTGGATGAAATGGTTTCCTATGCTTTCAGAATTTTTTTCCCTTCCAGACAAATGTAAAAGGAACGACTTTTTTTTTTTTCTTACCCCAAAAAACAACACTTCACAAAACCTTCATAGTGCTCTTTGATCACTGACAAAGTAGCTTGTCAGAGAATTATATAAGAAGGCAAGTGGCTGGTCCCACCCCACCCCCAACCCCAAATGTGTTTATTGTTGAAGTTTGGCCAAGGCAGGAAGTTAAGTGATGCGATAGAATTTCAGAGTTACCGTTTCATAGGTTTAGATGATGCATGCACGTGAGAGGGATTTGGCAAAATTAATTTTGCACATTAATTAGAATGAAATCTTAAGATAATTTTGGTCTTGAACATGCTTCTTCAGGGTTTGTGCATTTGTTTACCTGAGTGTAGGATCATTTGACAGATCTAGGACATTTGATATGTAGATTCAAGTTTCAAATGATTATTAGGGGAGCTTTAGAAGACTCTCCTATTAGAGACCAAATTAATTTATACAGTACTTCACAATAAGCAGGAGCTCTGGTGGCACAGCAAGTTAAACACTGACCACAGAAGGTCAGGGGTTCAATCCCACCAGCCTGCTCAGTGAGAGCCTCTCAATTTAGTCAGTGAAACCCTATGGACCAGTTCGGTTCAGTCCTATAGTGTAATTGTGAGTTGGAGTTGAGTAGTTGCTAATGGGCTTGTTTTATTTTTGGGTCACCACGAGCAGGAGAAGATGATTTACTGTATATACTCGTGTAAAGCCGAGTTTTTCCAGCACATTTTTAATGCAGTTTTAGTGGTAAATTTAGGTGCCTCAACTGATATTTGGGTTGGCTTATACTCAAGTATATGTGGTACATTGAATGCATTTGAATTGAGTGAGATACAAAGTTCAAGAGAACAAGAGCTTTGCCTAGGTTTAACCCTAGGATTTAGAACCCCCCCTTGAGTGTCCTGTCTGTCC